AAAGGTGCACGACTTTAAGTCCTAAAACAGGCACTTGAGGCAACATAGGGAAAAGGCAGCCTGGAATAATTTCAAAGGGTGAAAATGCAGACCTCTCGAAGAAGGCCAAACAGAACATCGGTGTTCAGTGAGCGTTCGTGCGCCTCATCCATGATGATCGCCGAGTAGGGGTCAAGGTCGCTCTCACGTAGCGACTCACGCAGGAGTATACCATCAGTCATATACTTGATCAGTGTCTTGGAATTCGTGCAGTCCTCAAAACGAATGGCGTAGCCCACTTCGTCGCCCAGAGGCACGCCCATCTCATCGGCAACACGTCGGGCAACTGACATGGCTGCTACACGTCGCGGTTGGGTGCAACCCACCATGCCGTAAGTGGTATAGCCGTCCTCGTGGAGATACTGGGTCAGCTGTGTCGTCTTTCCACTTCCCGTCTCACCGACAATCACCACAATCTAGTTAGATAAAGTAGACAGTCACGGAAACATAATAGATCGTTGCATGGAGAAAAAAAACAAAGAAACATGAGTTGGACGTTAACCGCTTACCTGGTGTTCCTTAACTAGACGCAGCAGGGCCGATCGAACACCGAAAATAGGCAGATACTGCCGCTGCTCCCTAATGCTTTTTTGTTTGGCGAAGTCACTCACAGCCTCCGCTTTCTGATCACCCATCTTATCCGCAAAAGTCTGTGACTCACGATAAGAAGCTTCGTGCCACTTTTCTGTGTCATCCGTTTTCTTTACACCCATAATTTCACCTATTCGAGTGCCAGCCAATTCCCATTCCTTCTTTTGAGCACGCTTCCGTTCCTTTTGTTCACGGAAATAGCGTACTATTGCACTGCCTTTGCCAGCCACCTTGGTCATCACACCGTCGGGGTCCTGTGAGGAGATGCAATGTTTGATTTCAGTGACAAAACAAAAAAGTAATGTGTAGGTTCTAACGTAAGCTTACAAAAACAGCGTAATAAGTTGAAAACGCAACTTTGAGGCCGTGACCTAGCAAATCAATGGTAGCACCAACAGTAAAGACGGGAGCATGGATGTGATTTAGGAAGAGGACGACAGGGGGTGAAAACGTCCGGAAATGGTGGATTAACAGGCAAAT